ACGTTTGGACAGTTGAAGGGTTGGCATTTTTTCTTTGAAGGGCGTTATTACTGTATCCAGGTGCTGGCTGTTTTAAAGAACCTTATGAGTTCTAAAGCTTTTCCTTAGGGTAAAAGGCATCTTCCAGTCTTCTCTTGAACTTAAGGCTCCTTTCCATCAGTTGATCATCCTTAAAAAATTCATTGCAGCTGTTATGTACATATATAACTTACACTTGGAAATCAGTTTCATAGTAACTCTGTCCCATAGCTGTTATTCTCTTTCTTGGCTTCATTTTCCTTAAAGCCCTGCATTTTATTGTAGGATTTGACTAGTTGCTCCACATCATCCTCACTCATATCCTTGAAACCTTCCTATCCAGTTTATAATGACAGTCTTACTATCCACCTGTCACTAACTGCTGAGCTCATGAACTGCCACTGCCCACAACTACTTTTTACATACATTCAGTGTTATCTCTGACTTCATCCAGTACCTCTCAATGCTGATGATTCACTGAAGGTTTTTCACTCTTACTCACACTTACCCATTTACAAGAATAAGCACAATGCATTGTATACTGAATGTTGTGCTGTACTTTTTAAAGGTAACAAAACTCCACTGCAGTATAGATGTTGTCCTCACAGGCAAGCACTTTAGTCTGACACTTATTCTGACCAGTGCTATTTGGGTGGCCTGAAACATTCACTAGGACTTTAAATAATTTCTTGGTTTCAAATACATGTCTCTACTGAAGAGAGAAGCAGTCATGAAACTTGGTTTTGTTGAACCAATGCTCTATATTTGCCCTCCAGAATACCAGCAAGCATTCTAGAGTAGCGAATTCTCAACACGATCCAGGATTGCTTTAATAGCAATTTGTGACAGAAACAACTAGAGGAAATAACCTGCTTGACTTGGTTCTTTCCAACAAAGAATCACTAATTAAGAATCTTGAGCTTAGGAAAAGTGATCACAAATCATAGTTTTAACATACTACCATGGAATTACCTTAACCCTTTCAGGGTCGAGAAAGACCCTCGATCCTTAATTAACTCCCACTCAGGGTCGAAAAAAAAAAAAATCTTATGAAATCATAGAGAATCTTTTTCCGATCATAATGACACCAAAAGTATGAAATTTGATGGAAAACTTATGGAATTATGCTCTCGCGAAGTTAGTGGTATCGACGATATTTATGTATCTGCGATTGCACCTACTTTGAGCCCTATTTTCGGCCAATTCCAACGTTTCAGTCTACGAAAATCATAGCTATTTCACTAGAATTCCATTTGTTCTCTCGAATGAGTACAAGAAACTGCCCATTTACTGATTTCAACTACCCAATAAAGTGATCAGAAATTGACAATTTGGCCAATTTCACACAAATTTCAAAAGATGCCAATTTCAAAATAGGGTCAAGAATAAACAAGACAGACATTCCTGGCACCTCACGTCTCTGGGCCCCTCTTACATTACTTTTGTTTTCCATTTTGAATTTTTATTCTCACAAATAATAGAAGATTTACTGTTATGTACACTACTGCGTCAGTGTAAAAATGGTATAAATAATATCAGCGCACTTGTGCAAGAATATTGGACTCACTAGTTGACAGTTATTGGACACCCGGCGTGATTTGTTTACTCTTGAATATCAGCAAAAATAGAAAATTTTTGCTACTTTGCACTCAATTTCAAGGTACTTGTCATCGTGAAACCAATCAAAATTATCTCGATTTCTGTAATATATCTTCCATTCTATCAAATAAGGCCAAGAAAATGAGAATACAACCATAAATACTACACAAAAATAGACTGCAAAGTCTCTGTTTTAAACCAAAAACATGGAGTTTTTTTTTCTCATTATGCACTGTGCTGCAAGATTGTTTTTATACTGCACACACTGACCATGCAGACCCATTCTTTCACATCTAGGCCTACCAGCCTTTTCCTGCTTGATTTGAGGGTGCTAGAATTTACGTGTACTAGTACGTCACCATCACTGGTGCGTAAGACGTGCTAGTACATCAAAAACCTTGAAAGGGTTAAAAACTACAACCAAGTCAATGTCCCTGACTTTCACTTAGCTGATTTCATAGAGCTGAGGAATTACCTAGGTGGGGTGAACTGGTGTGACCTAACTGGTCACTATCTTGTGGGTCAGGTAGGCAGTGATGGTTGCCAATATGATATTTTATCAAGTTTAAGCTGCCCAGGCAACTTATATTTCAAGCTGGGAAATTAGATCAAAAACTGAGCCTACATGGATAAACAATTAAAACATCTCACAGGTCAAAAAGAGAGGCATTTACAGGCAAATCAGAAGAGGAGAGGGGCACTTAAGGGACAAGCCAAAAGAGATTATGAAGTTAAAATCACAAGGAATTTGAAGATTAATCCAAAAGGTTTCTTTCAGGTATATAGAAGTAAGACTAGGGACTAGTTAAGCCCCACTTGAAAGTTGCTCAGGTCAGCTTACCATCACTGACAAATAATGTGTACAGTCTTCAACACTTGTTCCTCTCAGTTTATACACAAGATGATGCTAGAGAAATTCCAGAATTTAAAAATTGTATAGGCCAGAACAAAAATAAGTCATGCAAAAAGTCACTAGATAGATTAAAACCATACATATCCCCAGGCCCTGATGAACTGTTCTCAGAGGTTATAAAGGAATGTAAGGAAGAACTTGCCAAATTCATGCCTCTATCTCAGTAAGTACTGAGATTGAGGCATGAAAAATAGATTTTAGTAAGTAAAAATAATTTTTTTTTTTTGTTTGAATATGGCGGAACCTTGACTTATATACATGTCTTAATAATTGAACCCTCAAATATGCAGTAAGCAGCAAATTTTGGCCTGGACGTGAAAGAATCAGTCTGTGCTGCAAGTGTGCATAGTACAAAAAAAAATCTTGCCCTGTATAGTGCTTTATGGGAACAGGTACCCTGTTTCTAGGTGTCACTTGATACACACAAGATATACTAGCACAATAGAGGATTTGGGAATATGATTAATGAACAAAGGAAAGGTTGTTATAGTGGCTGGAATGCCTACAGTGCTTATTTTACTCTGATTGTAAGTTTAAAATATTTGAATTATGTAAAATTGGCCTAATTACCAATTTCTGGTTACTTCAGTTTGAACATTGGAAACGGCCTACATCAGTCTCAAAATGGGTATAATCTCGGTTACACAAAAGTGCTCCCTGAACTCTCAACTTGGCACATGAATAATTCTACAAGTTTTACATCAAGTTTTGCAATTTTGGTGTCATTACCTTTTAGAAAAAGATTTTCTACCAGTTTAGACCTTTGTTTTTTAAATTACAACACTGACAGGACTTAATTTCAGGAGTCAGACTGTGAAAACGTTAAAATCATACGTGTTTTTGATGTTCGTCTCCACACATTTCATAAAAAGTAATGAAAAAGTGAGTGTGTGGCACATTACTAGTATATATTAATTTGGGAGAGCTAAACCCATAGGGATCATACACTGCCTGGGGGGAACAGGAGGTAATCAGGTTCAATTTAAGAAGGGAAAGTCAGATTAAATTCATTGGGTCAAAAGCCCCTCACTAGTATTAAGGAACCTCATTGGAGTAGCACAGCTTGCTTCATCTCTTTACCCTCACAATACATTACCTGTGTCCACTGGAGAGGGGAAAATATTGCACCTGCACTGCTGTAATAGCTGGCCACTTCAGAGTAAAATGCAGAAAAATGTAGCAAGAGTGAATCACGAATCGGTGGAAATGCTGGAGGTGGTATAGAAGACAACCTACTGTAAAACTGATTTAAAAATTGAGAGAATAAAATACATAAATAGCTTTGGAATGCAACAAAGCCCTCCTTTCTCCCCCTCTCTCATTTTCACCATTTTTATTTGAAGCTTCAGAATAAGTTAATGGAGACAAGTGGTTTTTTAACCCTTTGACTGTTTCCGACGTATAAATACGTCTTACGAGCCAATGTTTCTGACGTATTTATACGCATAAATTCTAGCAGCTTCAAATCAAGCAGGAGAAAGCTGCTAGGCCCACATGTGAGAGAATGGGTCTCCATGGTCAGTGTGCACCATATAAAAAAAATCGGGGAGCCAGTGGTGCATTGTGGGAATGCCATTTCAGTTGTCATTTTTCAGCATGTCTAGTGGTAAGAAATATGTGATTCCCCAGCAAATCTGGGACTCTTCTCTTCCCAAGTGATGCTCTAACACAGATGGAAGTGTCAGTGAAGATCAATTTCATGATTTGGAGGAGTTTGAGACCAAAAGCAATGGAGGAGGAGGAGGGGGAGGAGGGGAGGAAAGAGGAGGAGGAGGAGGAGGAGGAGGGAAGGAAGAGGAGGAGGAGGAAGAGGAGAGAGGAGGAGAGGAGGAGGAGGAGTGAGGAGAAGAGGAGGAGGAGGAGGAAGAAGAAGATGTAATAATATTGTTCCCTTGAAGCAAGAAAAAAAAAAGTCCACCCCATGACAGTGACAAGATAAGGGGAGATAAACATCTGATAAGAGCTGACTTTGATGAGCGTAAAGGAGGGTAATATTACATGACCATCGCCTCCCTTTGTTTTTGCTGGTACACAAACATTTCTGTCTGTCTATTTGTCTGTCTGTCAAGCTCCCTGTCTGTCCATCTAGCTCTCTGTCTCAGAGAGAGCCACAAGACTGTGTCATCACGTTTACTCACATCTTCAAGCAGAGTATAGCACTTTGTCTGGATTTCTTGGGTTATCCTAGGTAATTTACACTATGTATACTTGTATTTATGTGTACCTGTGAGACAGAGATAGGCAGACAGAAAGAGAGACAGATTGAAAGATATAGAATGAGGGAGAAAGATAATTAGATAGAATGGAGGAGGGGAAGCAGCATCCGACCCCATTGTTTTGACAGGGGTAGGGGTAGTGACTAATGAGACAATATGTCACTTTGACAGCTGCCGACTTCTGACTCAAAACAATTATAAGCCACACACTCGCACACAAGGAGGAGGAGGAGAAGGAGGAGGAGGAGAAGGAGGAGAAGGAGGACAAGGAGGAGAAGGAGGAGGAGAAGGAGGAGGAGAAGAAGGAGGAGAAGAAGGAGGAGAAGAAGGAGGAGAAGAAGGAGGAGAAGAAGGAGGAGAAGAAGGAGGAGAAGAAGGAGGAGAAGAAGGAGGAGAAGAAGGAGGAGAAGAAGAAGGAGAAGAAGGAGAAGAAGAAGGAGAAGAAGAAGGAGAAGAAGAAGGAGAAGAAGAGGAGAAGAAGAAGGAGAAGAAGAAGGAGAAGAAGAAGGAGAAGAAGAAGGAGAAGAAGAAGGAGAAGAAGAAGGAGAAGGAGAAGAAGGAGAAAGAGAAGGAGAAGAAGAAGGAGAAGAAGAAGGAGAAAGAAGAAGGAGAAGAAGAAGGAGAAGAAGAAGAAGAAGAAGAATTGTTTGTTTGTTTGTTTGTTTTTGTAAACAAGTTTTGTAAACAATATATTGATAATTATGTTTGTGTGCTTATTGTGTTGTATACAACGAGTGTATATATATTACATTGCACCTTACTTTGGTCTCATAGGCCAATAAGTTATGTGAAAAAATAAAATAGTGAAAAAAACAACAAACCTTCAAATACAAGTAAACTAAAGTTTACCGGGTGAGCGGCAGTCGCCGCTGTTGCCATACGCGGCTCATTTTCTGCAAACTTCACGGCTCTATATCTCGGTAAGTACCGATGGCAAAATTTTTTTTTTTGGACTAAAACACTCAGAAAAATAATCTTAACATTTTCATAAGAAAAAATAATTTTTTTTTTTTTTGAATATTTGGCGACATAGAATGACAGTTTCAGAGAGGGGCCTGAAACAGTCAAAGGGTTAATGGACATGCTGTCGAGTGTGAGCAGGATAACTTTTATGCAGGGATTCAGGAAAACCAGTTAACTGAACTTGAATCCTGGAGGTGAAAAGAACAATGCCTGCACTCTGGAGGAGGACTGGGATGTTGCAGTCAGAGGCTAATCTGATCATGTCAGCACCTCTCTGTAAAGTTGGTGAATGACAATGTTGGTGAATGCATTTTCTATTTTGGGTCACCCTGCCTTGCAGGAGATAGCTAGTAAGTTCAAAAAAGTTAATTATTAATAATGAAAAAAAGACAAGCAACTTGATTCATTTTAACCCTTTGACTGTCGAGACCCCAAATCCTGAAGTCTCTCTCTGTCGCAAAATATTCGAAAAAAAAAAAAAAATTCTAATGAAATGATAGAGAATCTTATCCCAATGGTAATGACACCAACAGTACAAAATTTGATGGAAAACTTACGGAATTACACTCTCGCGAAGTTAGCAATCTTGGCAATATATACACATCGACGATTTCGCCCACTTTGAGCGCTATTTTCAGCCAGTTCCATTGTTCCAGTCGACCAAACTCATAGCTATTTCTTTAGACCCCTCAAGGGAGGTTCCTTGATGCTGGTGAGGGGCTTTTGATCTAGGGAATTGGATCTGTGCTCCAGTTCCCTGAATTGAGTCTGAATACCTTCCATCCCTCCCCTGCTGTATAGTCCTTGTGGCTTAGCGCTTCTTTTTGATTATAATAATAATAATAATCCATCCCTCCCCACCACATGCGCTGTATAATCCTACGGGTTTAGCACTCCATGATTTTAATAATTATAATAATATTTCTTTAGAACTCCATTTGTTCTATCGATTAAGTACAAGAAACCACCCATTTACTGACTTCAACTACCCAAAAGAGTGGTAAAAAATTGGCGATTTGGCCAATTTCATGCAAATTAAAAAAGATGCCAATTTCAAAATAGGGTCCAGAATAAACAATTCAGACATTCCTGGCACTAAAATAACATTTTCTCTGTTCATTAGTCATCTCCAGGCCCCTCTATGTTACTGTTGCTTTTTATTATGAATTTTTATTCACACAAAAAATAAAAAAATTATTATGCAGACTACTGCATTATTGTAATAATTGTATAAATAATGCCAACCCATTTGTGACTGCATATTAGAATGGCTAGTTGGACACTTGGACTGTGATGTCAATTGTTTACTCTTGAACATCAGCAAAAATCGAAGATTTCCGCTACTTTGAGCTCAATTTCAAGACCCTTTTCATCATGAAACCAATCAAAATCATCTCTATTTCTGTAATGTCTTCCATTTTATCAAATGAGACCAAGAAAATGAAAATACACCTCAAAGTTGGCGTTTTAATCCACAAACACAGTCAGAGCTTTTTTTTTTCTCATTATGCACTGCGTGCTGTGAGATTCTTTTTATACTGCGCATACTGACCACACAGACCCATTCTCTCACATGTGGCCTACCAGCTTTCTCCCGCTTGACCTGAAGCCACTAGAATTTTGGCGTATTAATACGTCAAAAACACTGGTTCGTAAGACGTATATTTACGACACCGACAGTCAAAGGGTTAAGTAAATACATATCTTGTCTGGCCTAACCTCATTTGTACTTACATATAAATGAGCAAAACCTACCCAGTGTTTATTGAAACAATATTGAAAAAGAAACATGCACAAGTGAAATCATGCATTCTGGGCTTGTAAAAAATGGGCGAGAGGTGTATAAGCCTTTTCTGCATTACAACACGTGAAATATTTTGAATTTTAATGAATATTGACAGTAAAAAAGTTTATACAGTACATTAAGCATAAGCTAAGATCATATTTTAGGGGTCAAGAATAGTATATGGAATTTCTCAAAAAAAGTTAAGATGATCGAAATAAACTTTAAACTGTGGAAATTTAAAAACTGTATAAACTAAAGATGGGACACCACAAGTATAGCTTTGCTTCTGTAACTACAAGCAGGTAATTACACATACATGTATATATGTGTGTGGCTCACTTCAATATCTTGTCAATGATATTTAAGGTTATACAAACAAAATTAAAGATGTCCAGTAAATATCACATTTGGACATATATTACATGAATATACCTTACACATTTGTTTAAAACACTTACAGTTTAATAATAATTTGGTAAGACTCTGAATTTTAATGCAAATTTTTATACTTAAAAAAAGCAGAAGAGGCATACTACAAACAATAAAGAAGAAAGACACATTACAACACAAGCTTCTGTTTATCATAATGTGATCAAACTTTATACAGAGCAAAGAATCCCAATAAGAGCTTGTTCAGCAATGTACATCTTTCCTGCAGAAGAGACTTTAGCTGCCATTTATCTGTAGTGAACATTGTAACCTTAAAATAACATTTCATGAACAATTTTAACAAGCCAACAGCCATACTCTACAACATAATTAAATTACAACTAAACGTGTAGTACTGTAATTTAAATGTCAATGACTGTCTTTTTCCCTTTCCAATTTTACATAGAGCTCTCATAGAAAAAAGACAAACTAATGACAACTAAAAAAATTAATTTATAAGATAATTCTTAAGGAGATTCATTACAAAATCAGAATAGAAAATGTCTGTGCAAGCATGACAAATTATGTAACTCAGTATAAATTGTCATGTAAAGCAATTTAAGATGTTTAAATTGACAACAAAAAGAGGAACAGTTAAATTTGTGCTTTAGAGTTCAATTATGTGCATTAGGCCAACATTAACCTTTACAAAGTACCAAGCAGCACTTAAATAATGTATCTATTGAATGACTGATGGTGAATGTGTTTCCTTCTTCAGGTCCCTCTACCCTGGTTGAAAGGAACCAATATGGTTATTATCCAAATGAATCTCAAAACACATCCATATTGATTTAACCATAGTTATCATCTGTTTTAAAGCACTGAAATACAGAAAGATAAAACTTGGGACTACCTTCCCGAATATGCACAATGGATAATGATATAAAACTACGTGAATGATAAAAAAAAATTAAAATAAACTGCTTTAAAGGACATTCATGTGTAACACACCAAAACAGACCGAATTTTTCATATTTCAGGTATAATTAGGTAATAAATACTGCAATATAGATTTTGTTTCATGTCCTTATTACATTTTTTGAACTTACACTGAGTAATAATACATATTCACATTTTTTCTGCCTTTGTTATCATATCCTGACTTCATCTGAGGCACTGGTAATTTATTAGCCTAGGTAATCTCTCTGCACAAAATTCTATACAGTATTCATTAATGAAGGAGACAGTACAGTACTGGTGGAATAAGCACCGAATAAAAGTTTATGAATGACACGGATAATATCTGCCATAAAGTAACTGTTGTTAATATACAATTATGATTATAATTAGTCTAGTATGAATACTCTGGAATCTTCAACTCTGATGTAATTTTAATACTAAATGTAAATTAATTTATGATCATAAGGGTATATTAATGATCTGTTTAGTGTATGTTGTTATACTAATTATCACTTTATGGCATAATAATTAGACTTATTGTATTATACATTAACGACCTTCCTGATACTAGACAGTGCATTCTCTGATTCAAATTGAATGTCTCTTTTTTTTTTTTAACACAAACTTTGACAGATGTATTTATATGACAGATATAGAGTAACATCAATTTTGATTTATCAAACTATCCAGTATACTGTATACATGGAAATATAAACACATATGCAGTATAATGTGATCTTTTATTGACAACGTTTTGCCCACACAGTGGGCTTTTTCAAGTCACAAACAGATCTACCTGGGGTGGAAGGTACGCGAGTATTTAAAGTCAGGTTCAGAATGCTGAGGTCAGGTGGAGAATGCTGCATCTGATGATGTACCTAGTGGGGTTATAGAGTCTAAAATCTTGGGTAGCTTCGAAGGGAAATTGGATAAGTTTGTGAGCAGACCTTCTGCAGTGTTCTTCCATTCCTATGTTCTTATGTGGGATAGCGATGAAGAAGTTTCTTCGCAAGTGGTTCAGCTATGTTATAGAAGCCAGTATTCTGGTTGAAGTTGTTGGATATAGAAATAAGTGATGATTCCAGGATTCTTTGGTATTGAGTGTTGTCTTCTGTGGCAATAAGTCTTGAGTTTCTGTAGTTTATCAAGTGGTTGTGTGAATTACAGTGTTGTATACAGGCATTCCTTGTATCGCCAGACCTGCTTGCGTATTGGTGTTCTGAAATACGTGTTTGGAGGTCCCTTGATGTTTCGCCCACGTATAATTTGTTGCAGTCATTACAAGGGATTATGTATACCCCTGCAGAGGGTGGAAGCTTGTCCTGTCTATCACTGGTAATGTCCTTGATGGTTGTGGTTGTGGAGGTAGATACTTGGAATGAGGTATTGGAAAAGATGTTGGAAACGTGTTTGGCAATGGAGTTGGTGGGGAGGACTATGTATCTCTTCTCGGCAGTGTCTTCTCTGCCCGTCGTCTGCAGTCTCTGATGAAGTGACGAGGATAGTGGAGTTTAGAAAATACTTGTTCAATTATAGTGCATTCTTCCTCAAGAAACTCATTGCTGCAGATTCTGAGTGTACGCAGGAAGAAGCCTATAATTACACCACGTTTAGTTTTGGTGTCGTGGTGAGAGTAGAAGTGGAGAAGATCGTTTTGGTTGGTGGGTTTTCGATAGACTTTAAAACGAAGTTCGTGGTCAGCTTTGCAGAGATCATCATCAAGGAAAGGAAGTGTGTTGTCGACTTCTTCTTCAAGTGTGAACTGGATTGAAGGCTCGACCTGGTTGAGCTCGTCTTGGAGAGCTTGAACGTTGAAGCGTCTAGGAGTTATGAGGAGAATGTTGTCAACATAATGGAGCCAGGTGACAGACGAAGGAATAATGGTGGAGAAACGTTCGGCTTCTAGATGTTCCATGTATAGGTTCGCCAGGACTGCACTGAGTGGCGAACCCATGGGTAGTCCAACACATAGTTCAACAAGGGCGATGAAATCGCTGGCTGGAATAGGAAGATCAAGTGAATCGTCAATTTTCCTGCGCAAGAGATCGATGGCTTGTGTAGTAGGTACTTTGGTGAATAGGGAAGTCACGTCAAGGCTGGAAAGTTTCTTGTTCCTGATGTTGATGTTGCGAATGCGATTGAGAAGATCACCCGAGTGTTTGAGATGTGCTGGACTGATAGTGCCCAAGAGTTTAGAGAGGTGTTTTGCGAGAATTCCTGAGAGCTGGTGGGGAGCACTGCCTATTCCCAAGGATTTGGGCCTCAGTGGGATACCAGGCTTGTGAGTTTTTGGCAGGCCATACATTCTGGCAGGTCTGGGGTTGCTGGGCATGGTGTGCAGAAGTTTCTTCCCTTGTTCTGAGCCCCTCAGAATGCGGCGAGTCCTTTGAAGAAAAGTTTTAGTAAGGTTGTCCACTTGGTTAGTTGTGAGAGGTTTGTAGGTATTTGGGTCATTAAGTAGATTGAGCATTTTGTTCCTGTAATTGTCAGTGTTCATGATAACAACACCACCTCCTTTATCAGCAGTGGTGACCCTGATGGTAGTGTCTTCTGCTAAACCTTTAAGTGCATTGATGTAACGTCGAGGTATGACTGGGGAGCTGCGTGTTGAGATGGCTCCTGAGATGATGCCTTGAAGATAACCTTTTTGGAAGTCGGAGTCATTGTGTCTGTAGTTTTTGGCGATGAAATTGAGGTCTTGTTTTGGTTTCGTAATTCCTGTTGCGAATTTGAGGCCTAAGCTGAGGGCTTCAGTTTCTGTGGTTGACAGTGGACGAGATGAAAGATTTTGAATAATTTCAGGCCTTCCTAAACTTTTTCAATTACTATTATCGCATAGTGTTTGTAGTTTCCTAGTAAGTCTGATCTTCTGTTGAACATTCGCTGTGGTAACTCTGCTGCGAATGATTTCGGCGGTGCGTCTGTTCATGTTGCCCCAGAGTGTTGTGCCTAGTGTTCTGGCTTGGAGAAAAGTTTCCTCTGTAGCATGACCATCAGGGTCACCACCGCTGATAAAGGAGGTGGTGTTATCATCATGAACACTGACGATTACAGGAACAAAATGCTCAATCTACTTAATGACCCAGATACCTACAAACCTCTCACAACTAACCAAGTGGACAACCTTACAAAAACTTTTCTTCAGAGGACTCGCCACATTCTGACGGGCTCAGAACAAGGGAAGAAACTTCTGCACACCATGCCCAGCAACCCCAGACCTGCCAGAATGTACGGCCTGCCAAAAACTCACAAGCCTGGTATCCCACTGAGGCCCATATCCTCGGGAACAGGCAGTGCTCCCCACCAGCTCTCAGGAATTCTCGCAAAACACCTCTCTAAACTCTTGGGCACTCTCAGTCCAGCACATCTCAAACACTCGGGTGATCTCAATCGCATTTGCAACATCAACATCAGGAACAAGAAACTTTCCAGCTTTGACATGACTTCCCTATTCACCAAAGTACCTACTACACAAGCCATTGATCTCTTGCGCAGGAAAATTGACGATTCACTTGATCTTCCTATTCCAGCCAGCGATTTCATCGACCTTGTTGAACTATGTGTTGGCTTTACCCGTTTCTCTTTCGAAAATCACCTCTTTCAGCAGACTTTTGGACTACCCATGGGTTCACCACTCAGTGCAGTCCTGGCGAACCTATACATGGAACATCTAGAAGCCGAACGTTTCTCCACCAATATTCCTTCGTCTGTCACCTGGCTCCGTTATGTTGACGACATTCTCCTCATAACTCCTAGACGCTTCAATGTTCAAGCTCTCCAATACAAGCTCAAGCAGGTAGAGCCTTCAATCCAGTTCACACTTGAAAAAGAAGTAGACAACACTCTTCCTTTCCTCGATGTTCTTCTCTGCAAAGCTGACCACGAACTTCGTTTTAAAGTCTATCGAAAACCCACCAACCAAAATGATCTTCTCCACTTCTACTCTCACCACGACACCAAAACTAAACGTGATGTAATTATAGGCTTCTTCCTGCGTACACTCAGAATCTGCAGCAATGAGTTTCTTGAGGAAGAATGCACTATAATTGAACAAGTATTTTCTAAACTCCACTATCCTCGTCACTTCATCAGAGACTGCAGACAACTGGCATTAAACATCTTCAACACACCCAGAGAAGACACTGCCGAGAAGAGATATATAGTCCTCCCCACCAACTCCATTGCCAAACACATTTCCAACATCTTTTCCAATACCTCATTCCAAGTATCTACCTCCACAACCACGACCATCAAGGACATTACCAGTGATAGACAGGACAAGCTTCCACCCTCTGCAGGGGTATACATAATCCCTTGTAATGACTGCGACAAATTATACGTGGGCGAAACATCAAGGGACCTCCAAACACGTATTTCAGAACACCAATACGCAAGCAGGTCCGGCGATACAAGGAATGCCTGTGTACAACACCGTAATTCACACAACCACTTCATAAACTACAGAAACTCAAGACTTATCGCCACAGAAGACAACACTCAATACCAAAGAATCCTGGAATCATCACTTATTTCTATATCCAACAACTTCAACCAGAATAGTGGCTTCTATAACATAGCTGAACCACTTGCGAAGAAACTTCTTCATCGCTATCCCACATAAGAACATAGGAATGGAAGAACACTGCAGAAGGTCTGCTCACAAACTTATCCAATTTCCCTTCGAAGCTACCCAAGATTTTAGACTCTATAACCCCACTCGGTACATCATCAGATGCAGCATTCTCCACCTGACCTCAGCATTCTGAGCCTGACTATAAATACTCGCGTACCTTCCACCCAGGTAGATCTGTTTGTGACTTGAAAAAGCCCACTGTGT